AAGGTTAACTTCTAAATGGCTTGTAAATGCCCCCGCGGTCGGCCCTGCTGTCCCCCGGTCTAACCCCCGGGCCTGGGGCGGCTTTTCTGTGTGCTGGGTGAAGGGAAAGGGCTTTGGTTTCTGCCTGCTCGGTGAGCAAACGGCCAGGTCAGGGCTGGGGGGAGGACAGCCAGCTTCACCTTGGGCCTTCTGCTCAGCAGATGCAGGAGGCAGGGCTTCTGAACTTAATTGTCATCGTTTATTTAGTTACACATGGCTATCCCAGAAAATTTGAGCCAGATTTTCAGAAGTATTCAGGCATCTCACTCTGTTAGAGCCTGTAAACCCTGCTTGGTGTCTGGTTCCAGCCAAAACAGAGCACAGGAGGCAGCTCTTCAGCTCAGCTGCTTCTGTCTTTGCACATTCCCCTTTTCTTCCTCCTTGGTGACAATGTGCACTTTTTTTACCTGTTTTTTTTTTTGCTGTGTTTTTTTTTCCCCCTAACCTTTCTCTGTGATTTTTTTTCTTCTTTTCCCCTCTTTGCCCCAACAGATCCAAGGAACAACCAGACAGGTGTTTCCTTCCAGGCTTTAAGGTGCTTCTGGAGCCCATGGCTGCCCTGGTGACGCTGGTCTCTGCTGGGGTGGGAGGGCAGCCCAGCACTCGTGGAGCAGTGGGGTTGTCTCTGGGTACTGGTGCTCATCCTGTTGCTGTCCCACCAGCCAGGAGACCCGCAGCTCAGCCAGGGCTGCTGGCCCAGCACTGGGGATACTGGGGAAACATCCTCCTCCCTGGCTTGGAGTGGGACAAGGAGGGCAGGCAGAAGGGGCTTTGTTGGTGTGTTTTAGCTCATGAGCAGGATAGCTGCCCCATCTCCCACCTGCCCCAGGAATTACCATCTCTAATGATCAGGCTTGTCTGTGGTGGTGAGCCTTTGGATGGGCCTGCCTGCCCCAGGGTGACCCAGGGGCGAGGTTGCTGCTGCCCCTTGTCTCCTTAGAGCAGCTAAAACCTTTGGGTGGGCTGGTTTCATGGCCTGCTGGTGCAGTAGTGCTGCTCCAGGTGGAGAAATGGGAGGAAGAGCAGCTTGGCTTCCGGGTGCCATGTGGCATCATGTGTTTGTTCATCATTGCTGTCAGGTCACAGTGGAGTGGGAGCACATCCCGACCATCTCTCCAGGAGCCCTGGGTAGAGGTCTCAGTTTCCACGAGTCTGGCAGCACTGGGATGAGAGCCTCTTCCCGTGGGGCCAGTGCCTGGCTCCTGGTGGACCTTAGTGACATTGGGTGAGGGTGGGAAGCAGGCCAAGAACAGCTTCTCCACGGCAGCAACCCCGAATTTGGGGTGTGAAGGGGACTAACAGCAGGATACAGGAGTCAGTCTGTTAGTGGTTGGAAGGTGAAAGCTGAGATGTGTCCCAAAGGCAGAAGGAATTTGTCAGCTTGGTGCTGAGCTTTGAAGGCCCCAGAGCAGAGCTGTGGCAGGGATTTTTTCCCTGCTCCTGCCCGTTGCCTTGCTGATGGGGCGGTGTCTGGCTGAGGGGGGCCTGTGGGGGGTGGGATGGGACTGGCAGGAGAGGAGCAGCCAGGGTGAGTTGTTTTACCTGTACAAAAAGAGGGGGGAAGCCCAGAAAAGCCAGTAGGGTGGCTCCTTAGCTATGTTCTGTGTTTTGAACTGGGTTTAGGATTAATCTATTTTATTTCTTCTAAAATGATGTGACTGACCTGAGGAGCTGAGCAGGAGGCAGGACTGAGTGCCCAGGCCGCCAGGAGGTCCCTCTCCATCCAGGTTCCACCATCAGACTCCTGTTATTTTGGCCACAAGGAAGCAGGTGCAGGTCTGAACCCAAAACCACCTGCCTGGCTTAGCAGGGGCTCATCCTGCAGGCAGCTTGTGTGGGAAGTGGGCAGGAGCCTTCCTGCCTTTTCCCTTGTGCCTTGGGGAGCAGTGGGACATCGTTAAAAATACATGTCTGACTTATGGTGCTTCTGGAGCCCGTGGCTGCCCTGGTGACGCTGGTCTCTGCTGGGGTGGGAGGGCAGCCCAGCACTCGTGGAGCAGTGGGGTTGTCTCTGGGTACTGGTGCTCATCCTGTTGCTGTCCCACCAGCCAGGAGACCCGCAGCTCAGCCAGGGCTGCTGGCCCAGCACTGGGGATACTGGGGAAACATCCTCCTCCCTGGCTTGGAGTGGGACAAGGAGGGCAGGCAGAAGGGGCTTTGTTGGTGTGTTTTAGCTCATGAGCAGGATAGCTGCCCCATCTCCCACCTGCCCCAGGAATTACCATCTCTAATGATCAGGCTTGTCTGTGGTGGTGAGCCTTTGGATGGGCCTGCCTGCCCCAGGGTGACCCAGGGGCGAGGTTGCTGCTGCCCCTTGTCTCCTTAGAGCAGCTAAAACCTTTGGGTGGGCTGGTTTCATGGCCTGCTGGTGCAGTAGTGCTGCTCCAGGTGGAGAAATGGGAGGAAGAGCAGCTTGGCTTCCGGGTGCCATGTGGCATCATGTGTTTGTTCATCATTGCTGTCAGGTCACAGTGGAGTGGGAGCACATCCCGACCATCTCTCCAGGAGCCCTGGGTAGAGGTCTCAGTTTCCACGAGTCTGGCAGCACTGGGATGAGAGCCTCTTCCCGTGGGGCCAGTGCCTGGCTCCTGGTGGACCTTAGTGACATTGGGTGAGGGTGGGAAGCAGGCCAAGAACAGCTTCTCCACGGCAGCAACCCCGAATTTGGGGTGTGAAGGGGACTAACAGCAGGATACAGGAGTCAGTCTGTTAGTGGTTGGAAGGTGAAAGCTGAGATGTGTCCCAAAGGCAGAAGGAATTTGTCAGCTTGGTGCTGAGCTTTGAAGGCCCCAGAGCAGAGCTGTGGCAGGGATTTTTTCCCTGCTCCTGCCCGTTGCCTTGCTGATGGGGCGGTGTCTGGCTGAGGGGGGCCTGTGGGGGGTGGGATGGGACTGGCAGGAGAGGAGCAGCCAGGGTGAGTTGTTTTACCTGTACAAAAAGAGGGGGGAAGCCCAGAAAAGCCAGTAGGGTGGCTCCTTAGCTATGTTCTGTGTTTTGAACTGGGTTTAGGATTAATCTATTTTATTTCTTCTAAAATGATGTGACTGACCTGAGGAGCTGAGCAGGAGGCAGGACTGAGTGCCCAGGCAGCCAGGAGGTCCCTCTCCATCCAGGTTCCACCATCAGACTCCTGTTATTTTGGCCACAAGGAAGCAGGTGCAGGTCTGAACCCAAAACCACCTGCCTGGCTTAGCAGGGGCTCATCCTGCAGGCAGCTTGTGTGGGAAGTGGGCAGGAGCCTTCCTGCCTTTTCCCTTGTGCCTTGGGGAGCAGTGGGACATCGTTAAAAATACATGTCTGACTTTCCCAATAGCAGTGGAATTATTTGAGGAAAAGGATGGTTGTTGCCTTCCTACAGGCATCCCTGTTGTCTGCAGCCAAGGCAGTGCAAGCAGCAAGCACCACCAGAACCAGAGCAGTAGAGTGGCTTGGGTTGGAAAGGCCACCCAGTAACTGTTTCTGAGTGGCTGGCAGTTAGTTTGTTCTAATAAATTCACCCTTCCAGACAGCAAGCTGCCTGTCATCCATGCTCATGAGTTAGATACATTTTGACTGCAGTTAAATATTTTTTTGATAACAAGGCTTGGCAATTTTGTTGCAAATGAACTTATAATTAGTTATTTTTTAATTATGCATGACTGTGAATTGGAGGACAGTGTCTTCTGTTCCAAGCTGAGGTTGGGTTGAGGTAAAATAGTCCATTTGGCTACGTCAGCCCCAGAAAGGGGGGTGATTAAAAGGGTGAGCTTGCATCCTGCAGTATTTCCTGCTGCTTGTGATCTGCACACGCACTCATGCCCCTAGCCCACAACCTTTATCTCAGCTGACTGGGTTTAGATCTGCAGAATGAATCCTGACAGGCAGTTGATAGAAGAAAGGCATTAACTGCACCAGGTTTGTGCGACAAGCCTGAAGGATGTAGGGAAGGTGAGTCTTTCTCCTGGTGGCAAAAGTGTGTTGCTCCTGGAAAGTGAAGTGTGTCAGTTGAAATGTTCTTTTTCTGCCATGGATGGAAAGACACTGGAGCTAAATCCTCTTACCAGGAGCTGTGGGGGTGGAAGGTGGCTTCAGGCTGGGTGTGGGGGGAGCACTGGGGCTGTGGCACAGTGGGTGCTGCCCAGTGGTGGGACTTAATGGCTTTGGGCTGGTCTTGTGTGGCTGGAGGAGCCTGAAAGAGCCCGGTTTTCCAGAGCTTCCCCATCAGGAGTAAGTACTGAGGAAGCACAGGGAAACAGAAAGCAGCCATGGGTGTTGGTGGTCTCTCACTCGTGCTGAGCAGGCTCTGCTGGAGCCTGGCCCTGCAGGGACAGGAGAAGGGGGATCTGAGTGGGCTCTGGGGCAGGCTTTGCTGTGCTTGAGAAGCAGGGCAGGCAGGGGGCCGTGATGGCAGAGCCTGGGGTGCTAGGCAGGCTGGAAAAGGGAGGATCCCTCAGCAAAACTGCTTGCTTAGCCTTTAGAGACACTTGCAGCATGAAGAAAAAGGTCTGGAGGCTCTCCCTGGCATTGCTGAGGTAGGCCACCTTCCCCAGCATCACAGCAGTGCTGCCACAGCACCCTGCTGCAGCAGGATGGCTGGACCTCCTCTGGCCCTAGGCCTGCCAGAGCCAATACCTGTCCATGCGGAAGCTGCTGCCTTCCAAGATGAGCCTTAAGCTGCTTTATTGTTCATCCTGGCAGTGTGTGTAATCCCTTGGACAAGGTAGGGGGTGTTTCCTCTCTGACCACTGGTACTAGGACATCTTGGGCTGCAGAGCTGCTGGAGCCTTGCCACAGGGTGGTGGGAGTCCCTGCCATGGGGGCTTTTGCTGTTAAGCCAGGGCTTTCTCCTTGTATTTTTGTAACAAGTCTGAAATAGCAGGACCCTGCCCTAAAAGGCTTCTGGTTCAAAGGGCTTCACAGCTGCTTGCCCTGCTGTGCTCCCAGGAGGGCATTGCCCAGGTGCTGCCCTCAGCTGGGCTCTGCAGCAGCCCCCAGTTCAGACCCAGCAGGGTTACAGTGAGCTCAGACTGTAAAGACTAACTTTATGAGCATAAATCATCCCGTGGGGTTAACCTTTGAGTGCTTTGCTTCTGCCAAGTGAGAAGCTTTGCACCACGCTGGATTCTCAGGAAGTCGTGGATTTCGTGGACCTGCCTGCTCAGAGCCAGGCTGTGGAGAGCAGGCAGGATCCAGGCCTGCCTGCAGGGCCAGAGAGAGCTGGGCTTGTGTCCGTGTGAGGAACAGAAGACTTGTACAGTTTTCTGGTGTGACCATATTAGACAATCTCCTTGCATAAAATAACCAAAATGTATAGCCAGAGCTTTAGAAATTCTACCACTTGCAGTTGTTTTATGATTGATGCTGACATCTTTGTTTGGCTGTACAAACTGTACTTGCTTTCTGGGTTGTCATTTGAAAGACACCTACATTCTCAGTTGTCTCTGTTTAAAAAAAACTCTTTGAACAAAAACATTTTGTTCCAAATTATGTGGTTTCAGCAGCTTAATCCTCTTGACTCACTAGCATTCAAACTTAGAGCTTCCCGGTTAAACTAAACTAATCTAATCTGCAAGTTCTCTCACTCTTACTCTTTGAATAACAGGAAAGGACTTTTCAGACTCCAGATGATGCAGTGGTTCTTTTTATTTCAGAGAAGGGCAGTGACTTGTTACCAGAATCAGGCTAATTCCTACTTGCTTGCTTTATGCAAGCTTTCTTTTTAAACTTGGTGGGGTTCTTCATAGAAATTGGGTGAGAGAGACACAGTCTGTAGTTGTCTGGGGAAAGGAGAATGAAGGCAGTGGCTTAGAGCCATTTTAACTGGGCATTCTCCATGTGATCTGCTTAAAAAGTATAATATTTCTCATGTCAGGCCAAGGGCATAAATTCTGGTGCAGAAGCCCAGAGACCTGAGTTGTAGTTGTGTGTTTGTATTTTGGAGGATGTGCTTTTACCAATATTTGTGCAAGGTATGGTATCCAGACTTTGGTAGGCTGTAAGGAGACTTGGCATTGGACAACAGTACATCATCATTCTCCATCTTGCTACTCTGAAATGGTGCATTCCTTATTTTAACAAGGTCATATGTGGGCAGACCAGGGCAGAGGAGCAGAACTGTGTGCCAGTGAACCTGTCCTTGATAGTGCGAGTTACCCATCCAAATTGGGTCGTCCAGATTTTGAATGAGAAGCAGAAAAATCAGCCAGGCAAATAAAATGTGAAGAAAAGAAATTTAATAGCTCCCAGAAGGCTCACATAATCTGTATCACAGATCCTCCTGGCTCTACCAGCCTGCTGAAAAAATGAACTGCTTTCCATGAGAAAACTTGAAACTTCTTAGAGCAAAACTTTGTGCAAAGACTTCATGGAAGCAGAGGGTTTGATCTCTGTGCCTCTTCTGGCAGGAGAGTAGGACACCTTTCCTAAATTTTGAAATTTTTGAGTATTTTTCTTCAGTAGCAGCATTGGCTGTCTTGCCTTAAAAGCCAAGGGAAAATGTTGCATTATTAGTAGGTGGAAGCTGTGGGAGCGTTTTTGGGGGGGTTTGTTGTTTTGGGGTTTTCTGGTGTTTTTGCTTTCTGTAAAGAATCTAGGGTTTGTTACATGCGCCCAGTGAAGCACATTGCAGAGGTGCTGACTTCCTCTCTTTCC